AGTGGAAGGCGGCCTGTACTCCCCACATGGCGGCTGCGGCAGCCGTGAGCACACCAAGTGGAGCCTACAGGCCGACCTGAAGTAGCTCCTGCAGGCCATCAGCACCGCTGAGGAGTGGCTGTGCAAGTCCTGCCTCCTGGTCCAGAAGGTACAGAACCACAGGGACAGTCAGCCACCATGGCGGGCCAGATTGATGTCCTCCTGGCTGCACATGGGGGTTTGTGGATCATTGCAGCTGCAGGCCTCTGGTGCACGCATCCTCTCCTCCCCCACTGGCATGCGAACGTCCCCCAGCGCGCTGTCACCTACGTGAGCCTACAACAGTCCCGGACCATTGCACATACAAGTCCCACTCTGCCACACTTCCATCAACCCCAGCATGCCTGTGTCCCCCAGAGGATGTGCGCACATCCCCTCCAGCACGCTCACGACCTTTGGAGAGTGTCTGGGTGTTCTGGGTGCTGGGGTGGGCGCCTGTGAGATGACAGTGAGAGGGCGGAGTGGTGATGCCCTGTTCCCGCAGGAGGCCAATACAGCGACGAGATCACCTCCATGGAGCTAATGCAGGTGCTGAGGCGGGAGCAAGTGCAGACAGGCACACCTGGTGGGCGCGGGTGGCTCTCGCTGAGGTGCCTTCGGTCAGCATTCAAGATCAGGAACCCAGAGGAGGCAAACAGTTCCATTCCCTCAGTGAAATGGTGGGATAGTCAGGGCGACTGCAGAGGAAGAATGTGCACTTTGGGAGCCAGCACCCATGAGTGAAGGCTACCCTTACTGAGCTGAGCGAAGGCTGCCCTGACTGAGCCTCACTTGCTTGGGGCTTAGCGCACTCCTGCCGGGCAGCGGGTGACAGGACGTGCTTTTCCGAATTAATGAGAGAAAACATTGAATCTCCCAGTGCCCACGAAGGTAGAAAGTAGAGTGGGGAGACATGCGTAAGTGAGCGAGGTTCCCTGTCTGGGAGTTCCAATTCCGCCATTGGTTCCTTTCACGGCTGACTAGATATATACAGGATGTCCCCCCAAAATGTATACACACTTTGAACACCTACTAATTCCAATGGGCTTAAGCAGGAAAAGAAAGAAACAACAATGGAGCTGTCATCTGTTAAAAGTGCAGGCACAAACCGGCAGTCGGACATTCCCCAAGGGGTCCCGGATTAGAGAGGGTGCAGGCTGTCCTCCTGTCTGCACATGGGGGTC